TCAGGTTAGGCATTTTGATTAAGATGTGTATTGGAGAGGTTCTTTTCTGATCTTGTCTATTTGAGGTTCTGTGTGCATACATACTGAATGTGGATGTCTATCACATTCCTAAGGTTTGGAATACTTTCTGCTATTTTTTCACTGAAAGAATTTTAAAAAATTAATTATCATTTTTTTTAAAGAAAACCACAAATGGAGCACAACTTTCCATTTCTCTGGTTGTACATGAGTCACACTGTTTGTGCAATCATACACCTACATAGGGTAATAATGTTGGTCTCATGCCACCTTCTCCCCCCTCCTCCCCTTCTTACTCTCCCTTGTTCCCAATTGAAAGTTCCTCCACTCCCCTCCTCTGCCATTATTGATCAGCATCCACTTATCAGAGAAAACGTTTGGCCTTTGGTTTTAGGGGATTGGCTTACTTTGTTTAGCATGATATTCTCCAGCTTCATCCATTTACTTGTAAATGTCCTAATTTCATTTTCTTTAAGGCTAAGTAATATTCCATTGTGTATATATACCACAGTTTCTTTATCCATTCATCTATTGAAGGGCATCTAGTTTGCTTCCACAGTTTATCAATTGTGAATTGAGCTGCTATAAACATTGAGGTGGCTAAATCACCATAGTATGCTGATTTTAAGTCCTTTGAGTATAAACTGAGGAGTGGGATAGCTGGGTCAAATGGTGGTTCCATTCCAAGTTTTCTAAGGCATCTCCACACTGCTTTCCAAAGTGGTTGCACTATTTTGCAATCTCACCAGCAATAAATCAGTGTACCCTTTTCCCTCCATCTTTGCCAGCACTTATTATTACTCGAATTCTTGATAACTGCCATCCTGACTGGAGTGCGATGAAATCTTAAGAGTATTTTTGATTTGCGTTTCTCTAATTGCTAGAGATGTTGAACATTTTTTCATATGTTTGTTGATTGATTGTATATCTGCTGTGAATGTCTGCTCATTTCCTTAGCCCATTTATTGACTGGGTTATTTGTGTTTTTTTTTTTGGTGTTGATTTTTTTGTGTTCTTTATATCCTGGAGATTAGTGCTGTGTCTGATGTGTGTGTGGTAAAGATTTTCTCTCATTTTGTTGGCTTTCTCCAAGCAGTCTTTAGCAAGAAGAATGAAGCAGGAGGCTTCACAATGCTAGACCTTAAACTATACCACAGAGCTTTAGTAACATAAACGGCATGGCATTGGCACCAAAATAGACATGTAGACCAGTGGTACAGAATAGAGGACACAGAGACAAACCCACATAAATATGGTTATCTCATGCTAGGCAAAGGGACCAAAAACATACATTGGAGAAAATGGTGCTGGGGAAACTGGAAATCTATGTGCAGCAAAATGAAATTAAATCCCTATCTCTCACCATGCACCAAACTCAACTCAAAGTGGATCAAGGACCTCAGAATTAGACAAGAGACCTTGTAGCTAATAAAAGAAAAGCAGGCCCAAGTCTTCATCATGTCAGCTTAGGACCTGACTTCCTTAACTAGACTCCTGAAGCACAAGAAATAAAATCAAGAATCAATAAATGGGGTGGATTCTTACTGTCATTAAGAACCTTAATACCACCAAGAACCACTAACTAACCTGTATCTCCATGCCATTTTCAGTTCCAGTAGTACTTAAGCTTGATCTCATTGTTGTTCCAGAGTTCTTATACTTTCAGATTCTGGTTGGTTGTTCTCTTCTTCCTGAGTGTTCAAGTTCATGTGCCTTGTTTTAGTCCTGTTTTCTATATGACCTAATCTGTTTGTGATACTTTCAGGTAAACTTCTTCTCTGCTTCGTGGTATCTTTCATTTCCTGGAGTTCTCTCTGGTCTATTTTCAGAATCTCTGTTGGCAGTGTCTTGTATCTCCTATATTTTCTCTCTTAATTTATTCTTTAGATCTTCTGTTAGCTCACTAATCATTTGAATAATCAACATTTTGTAGTTTTTCTCTGGAATTTTATCCCCTTCAGTAGTTGTGGGTTCCTTTGTTGGGGGATTATAAAATTGGGGGACAGGAGACTTGTTTGCTTCTTTCCTCATGTTTTCAGAGGTCTTCAACTTGTGCATCTGGTGAGGTAGATTCCTTTTCCTTCTCCTTCTATGAGGGGGCCTTTGGTGAAGAGCTGTCTCTTTTGTCACAGGTTCTGTGCTGTATGTATAGCTTAGTATCATCTCATAGGATTCAGTGTAATCCGTTGTTAATTCCAACCTCCAAGCCTCTCAGCTTGCTACTGCAGAACTGCTGATTGAATGCATTTTTGGAGAGCTGCTACAGTGCTGTGGAGTCCTTGGAACCTCTGTGTTGGAGCTGCTTTCTGGGGTCATCTGTAGAAGCGGATGTCCATGAGCAGGACTTGAGTGTGCCCCCAGCTGTTCCTGCGGGGCCTGATCATCAGTGTTTTCCCTTCTCTGTTCTACGTGGTAATATATTGTTGGAGTTGAGCAGGGTTAGGTTGTATGTGGAGCCGGGTGTATCGTCTCTGGGTTAGGTTATGGGTGTAGTTCAGCAGCAGAGCTTCTGTGAACTTGTAGTGTTCCAGGATCCCATTACCTCTCAAAAAAACTTGGAAACCAACAACAGGGAACAATTTACAGCATTAAATACTCAATGCCTACTATAACATCTTCAGCCTGTTGTCCACAAATATTCTTTGTAGATGGTATATCCAAAAGAAGTCCAGCCCAGGACTGCTTATAGCATTACTGGGGTTGCATTAGGCCTCTCTCCACCTGTAGCAGTCTCGTCCATGGTTTAGGTGTGTGAACAAGACTTGGTGCCTGCCTTCTCACCAGTGCAGAGCAGCTGCTTGTCTAGAATGCACCAGGAGGATGTGGATAGGATGCTGGAGATGTGTTATTTTGCTTTGGGTTATTGAAGGGATTCCCTTGTTTTTAAAATTACTGATGCTTTAGAGATGAATCAGCAAGTCCTACTACTGGTCCCCATTGATGCCACACTCTTTGGGATCCAGAACTTGACCCCCCATGGTTGCCACTGCGAGCCGATGTTCTGCCTAGGCTCTGCCTAGGCTCGTAGCCTTGTCTTTCCGCACCTTGACCCTAGGGCTAGATCTCATTCTTTTTTTTTTTTTTTTAAATTTTATTTAGTTATTTATTTTTATGTGGTGCTGAGGGTCGAACCCAGGACCTTGCATGTGCGAGGCGAGCACTCTACTGCTGAGCCATAACCCTAGCCCCGAGATGCTCATTCTTGTGGCTCTTACTGTTGCAGAAATCTGTCCCCACTGTCCCCATTAATTTTTCTCTCAGTTCTTTCTTTTACAGCCTGTGGAGTCTTCCTCTTTATGCTAAAATTGCTTCACATATGGTCTCTGTATGTCATTGAAGACGAGCTAGTTTTCCTAAATGATGCCCGGTACATATGGGTTTCCAAGAAACGGTTCTTCAGAACATCCAGAAGACATGAGTCTAATGTGCTCCTCTTTTTAATTAATGGATTAACAAAGAATATATGGCTCTTAGTGACTCTGAATAGTTGAAAAGCCATTTTACTCTTAGCCTTCATTTTCCTTTCTAACAAGAGGATTGAATTGTGTGTAATGGGTGAGTTTTCTTTATGTCTGTTCTGTGGAACTGATGTTTTTTCATTGGAGATTTTTTTCATATATTAAATTTTTTTTTTCAGTTGTTGATAGCCTTTATTTTATTTATTTGTTTTTTTTCTGGTGCTGAAGATGGAACCTAGGGCCTCACTCATGCTAGGCAAGCACTCTACCTCTGAGCCACAACCCCAGCCTCCCCCCCTTTTGTATTTTTTAAAAGTAAGTTTTCTATGGCAGAATATCATCACTGGTTGGTCAGTCTGCTCCGGCCGTCTCCCTTTTCCCATGTGTGAGGCCTGCACAGGTGCTACTTCCATTGTACTACTTGGAGTATTCCAGTTCTTTTAAACCTTGGATTCTGGTTGGTTTGATATTTGCTGTATTTCATTATGCAGTATTGTTTCTACTAAACATAAAATGTTCAAAATAAAATGCAAACAATACATTTAATATTATGAACTTTTTGGTGGAAAATTGGTAGAATAATTTCATTTTGGAAATATTGGATTATTTTATGGCACGTTTAATTTACTCAAATGTAAAGTAAGAATGAGTTTTGTTATACCCCAACTGGGTAGATTGTAGCTGGTACTAGATGTTTGGCTTCCTTCTGTGTGTCCCTGTGGTGCCTATGCTGAGGGGGAGGAGGGTAGTGTTCATCCTGGCTTCCTGATGACATTTCTTGTCTCCCCAGGGGAAGTGCTCCTCACCCCTGGCCATGCATCAGAGTCACTTGGAATCTGTTGAAATTCTGATTTCCGGGTCCCTCCCTCCCTCGGATTGAACTTGCGCTGTTCTGGGAGGTCATTCAGACGTCTTGCTCTCCCTAGTCCCCCGGGAGGTCCTCCTGTGCATCGTGTAGTATGTCCACTTCCCCAGATGCCACCAGAGAAAGGCTAGTGACAGTGGAATGGGCTCTTGTTTCTTCCCATGTTTGTACCTTCCCTTTCCAGTAGCGGACTCTGCTGTTTTTCAGAGCCTCCAGCAGTTAGGGTGGGAGGGAGGCCTGTAGGGTCAAGACCACACATTTATCTCGTCTTAGACGCTGAATGGCCTCAGATGTAGTTTTTTGTAGAGGCATTTCTGTAAAAGTTCTAGTGAGACTTTCCTCGTGCCCCCCCTCCTACAAGTTTCTCTGTTTTGAGATTTGTCTGTTTTGCTTTTTGTTGAGCATATTCCTCTTCCAGGGAATGTTTTGTAGAGTCTTCCTAGCGACTTATTGGCTTAGGATGTGTTCTCAGTGGTGCTTGTCTCATCCCTTTGTCTTGGCTTCCTGTTGAGTGTGGAGAGAGTTCATGGAGTGGTGACGTCATGCTTCAAGCCCATTGGTGGCTTTGGCCAGTCAGGCGCTTCCTGGTGTCCCAGTGGGAAAGATGCATATTCTGGCAATAACAGGAAACTTCACATTTCTACATCCTGTTGTTCTGAGTTTGTGACTTGCTGCCCTGCCATGATGAAGGTTAGTGGACATTTCTATATGTGTTTCTTCTGATAGAGTACCACAGCTTAAATTTTCCAGGCTCTGGAATTAAACTGTGGAATGGAAGGAATTCACTTTATAGTTAAGGGAATTCATTTTATAGTTAAGGGAACTGTTTTGTGTATAAATGAAGCTGAGGCCTGTTAAGGTTATTGCTTAAGAAGGTGCAACTTAACCCATATTTAGCACTTGAACAGCTTTAGGTAGAGCTTTCCCTGGTGTTGGACTGCTTCTTGATCATGGAGAGCATATGGATTGACTTTGTATTATAGATGGCTCTGAAGGGGCTGTTCTAAGGAGGACCCTGGCTTCATGAGACCCACATCAGCGATGGGATGTCTAGCTGTGCTTACAGCTGGCTTGTTAGGGTTTGTAGGTCCATCTGATTTCTTCTCATGAGCTTTAGACAGTGAGCTATGCTTTTAGTCCTTTTTGATTGTCTTAGTGTCTTGGCCTCTGTTCCGAGGCCAAATTTGTCTCCTGAGTTTTCCATCTTCTCAGTTTTCTCTTGTTATTTGTGTTTGAAAAAACATACCTCATAACTATTTTTTATTCACTTCAAAAATTGTAGACAGAAGACTATCAACTGGAGGTGAGTTTTGTGTAAGAGAGCAGTTTACAATCAGGTTTGGAATTGTACTTCTTAGTGTCTCTTGAAACGCACTTCACTCACAGTGATATTGAGTACCCAGTGGGTGGTGGATGGACTGGAGTATGTATCTATCAGCACACATCCAGCACACTAGGTGTTGGGAGGTATGCAGTTGGCTCCTGTAGAACTTATACTCCATGGTAGAAACTGACTGAAACTATTCCTGTGACACATGTTCTGGGGGAGCCTATTGGGGGCTCAACAAGGCTGTCCAGGCAGGGTTGATCCTTCAGGAAGTAAGATGAGTAAGACTTAGTCGGGAAGGATGTGGGTGGGGGACAGGAAGTAGGGGAGCAGAAGGGAGTTCCTGACATATCTCTGAGTGTCCTCAAGAGGAGAAGCTGAACCCAGGGGGAGGGCAGAGGTGCTAGGTGGACCAGCCACTGATGCTTATTCTGGTCAGTGGTTAACATAACATTCAAATTATGTTAACATGACATTCATTTTGTTTTCTAAATATACTTTTGTTATTGTGTGTGTGTGTGTGTGTGTGTGTGTGTGTGTGTGTATTTTGTACCAGGGATTGAACTCAGGGGCACTCAGCTACTGAACCACATCCCCGACTCCACATCCCACCCCCCTTTTTGGGTATTTTATTTAGAGACAGGATCTCACTGAGTTGGCTTAGCACTTTGCTGTTTTTGAGGCTGGCTTTGAACTATGATCCTCTTGCCTCAGCCTCCAGAGCTGCTGGGATTCAGGTGTATGCTACCAAGCCCAGCTTGAAAGATATTTTTTCTTTCATAATTTTTCTAGGACAGAGTAGTTGGTGATTTGACTATTAAAATTGTTTTTGTATAAGGTTGGTTGGTGATCAAAAGTGACAGGTAGTCCTCAGACAGTATTTGCAAAGAGCTATGTGTTTTAGTACATCTGTGCATGCACACACACACTTACACACACAACCCTCACAGACTCTGTACCCAGCTGTCTATATCCAGGCCATCTCTTGTGTGCTCTTTGAGCTCCAGGTGATTGGTGTGCACCCTTGTGCATGTGCACTTTCTGCCTCACGCACGTGCACACACACACACTTCAGTTGTCTATATCATGTCTTGTACTTTCTCTCTCCCAGCTCCAACTGGATGGTGTTAACACATGTGTGCTTTCTCTCTCTCTCTGTCTCTCTCTCTGTCTCTCTCTCTCTCTCTCTCTCTCTCTCTCTCTCTCTCTCTCACACACACACACACACACACACACACACACACACTACAGACTCCAGCTGTCTGTCTGCATCCAGGTGAGCTCATGTGCTTTCTGTGGCAGCTCCATGTGTGTGGTATGAAGTGCTTATCTATGGGATGTGACTGTCTCCTCAGGGTCCCAGGTCTCTAGACAGCTCTGGATTGGAGGAGGTACCAGATGGTCCTGATCCTGGCCAAGACTCTGCTCAATGAGTCCCTCCCTTGTCCCTTCTGTGTGACCTGATCCCTTTCCTTATACTTTCACATCCGTTGTGCTCGCTCACGTCTGTATTTTCTTTTTGTTCCTGTTGGTTTTGAAATCAGCTGCATCTTGCCTTCTTTTTATGCTGGGAAAAAACATCTGGGGTGTGCCTTATCCAGTGGCCTCTGCATACTCCAGGGGGAGAGGGCTGCAAGCTACCAGTGAGCCTTCACCAAGCACATGCAGCTGGGTGGCCCCTGCCCTGGGTGAGTGCTCATGGATAGGCGGCTGGTCCTCATCCGAGGGCTTGAACTGCGCCCCATGCAGGAATTCTAGTCCTTTTCCTCTGGCCTGCTCTCGCATATTGTGCTTCCTCTTGGGATTTCAGGATAAGAACCCCACACCAGAACTTGTTGATGCTGCATTCAACATGAGATTCAGTACTAATTCTGCTTGTTTAATTTTTCCTTTTCAGACATTTGATGCAAATGATTTGTATCAGGGGCAGAATTTTAACAAGGTCCTCAGTTCCTTAGTGACTCTAAATAAAGTAACAGCAGGTAAGACTCCTTTTTTATTACATTTGAGGGGGTGGGAATACTAAAGAGAGAAAGGTTTTGGTTTTCTGTTAGTAAGGCAAAATGAGCATTACTGAATTTAAGAAATGAGCGCCTACTGCTTTGCTGCTATAATTCTGGTATCCTGAGCACTCGGGTTTCAGTTCCCAGTGCTGCAAGTCCTCCTTTAGAGACTGGCCTCTGAGCCACTTCCCAGCGCATGTTTACTCTGAGTCCTGTCTGGAAGCCATTCTCTGCCTGAGCCTGAGTCAAAGCAAGGCTCCTGTGTGCAGTGGAGGTGAGGCCTGACTGGCACAGAGCACTGCCCCAGAGCAGGTTGTCTCCACAGGAATGTGATTGTGTTTTCAGGGCTTCACTCTGAGATTGAAAGTTGTATACCTCTAGGGCTGTTGAGATGGAACCATCTAAGAAAACATTCCAGGGACAGGAATCCTTAAGATTGTCTAATCACTTAATGATGTATTGCAAATGAATATTTGGTGTTTTCTATAGGTGGTTAAATAGACATGAAGCAATCCTCTGTCCCTTTACCATCAAAATTGTAGTTGTAATGTGAACAAATAGTAAGGAAGAAAATCAGTTAAATGAAATTCAGGGAGATGTAGCTCACACCAGGATTTAATACAAGAGACCTTGCATGAGATCTTGAGAGTGTGGCAGGTTCCCGTATCCACCCAGGCAAGTGTCCATCTACCAGCTGCTTGGACACGGTCACTAGTCATGTGAGATTGTTTTGGTTGGTGATGGGCTGCATGTGCAGCAGTGTGCAGCATGTGGCCTAAGTGTGCACAGGGCTGTATCCTCTAGGTCGATGCCAGCATACTGTGGTGTCTGCATGATGACAGGATCTCCTTCCTGATAACACAGTCTTGAGAATGTAGCCCTGTCACTAAGGGACATGCAGCTGCGCGTGTCTGCCTCAGAATTGTGAATGATGACTTTATAATTAGTATAGAGACCTATACTAATTATAAAGTCATCATTGTGACAGACAGGGATGGGGTGGCCCTGGTAAATAAAATCTGTAGGTGATCCTCAGCTGGACCCCAGTGAATATATTGCTGTGGGTGCTCTCTCAGTGTTTGAGTTAGCAAAACAGAGTGTGGAGAGGTGCTGGGGAGCTGCAGGCCACGCTGGATCCCGTGCCTGTCAGCGGTCCAGGTTTGAGGCGTTGAGATTTTTTCAGAGAAATGATGGATTTGTAAACAAACTGGGATCAGTGGTTCCTGGACACATGCCACTGTTTTTTCTACCCCCACCTCCTGCAGAAGTATTTCTTGTGTATTGATGTCCTTGGATCTGCATTGGATGTAAAATATGTAGTGCTTTTCCTTATAAAGTCATATTTAGAAGTTAGGAGATAAATTTGGTACTTTCCAGCTTTTAGTTAATGTTAGTGACTATTTTGCAAGAGCTTTTTACTTTTCTGTTTGTTGGTTCCTTGCTCTTGGTTATTGTATTGAAGTCAGTGTGATGGAATTGACTGTCTTTTTAGTTCTCAACTTTAAACACTTGCCTCAATGCAGTATGGTCACAGCTGTTCCATTTTTGGGAAATTTTTGCCATCATCTTCCCTCTGTTTCTGTCACTTAAAGAAACGCATGTGTGTTCTTAAGGCATTTAGATGAGTTTTTGCCTTTCAGTTGGCCAGAAGAATTGATGATGGGGAAGGAGAGGAGTCAGGATGCCTTGGTTGCACTGAGAATTCTCTTGAAGGCCAGAGTAGGTTAGCACTGTGTAGCTAGGGTGACAGACCCACTGGCGGGTTCCAGGAAAATATCCTCTGTGGCAGGGTTTGTGTTGGGGTGGTATTTAGGCTTTGTCTTCTCAAGTAGACAGTACTTGAGAAGTACTCCTGTCCCTACATAGGATCTTACAAGTGCAGGCACCTTTTAGGGGGAATGTCAATACAATGTCCCACACTTCTGAGTGTGGAGCCAGAGCAGCATAAAGGTAGGAAGGTCTGGCCCTGGATCTTCTGCAGTTCTGGCTGCCTTGAGCCATTTTGTCCATGAGAAGGTATGGACCCTGTGTAGCTCTAGCCCGAATGTGCCAAGAGAAGGTGCAACTCTGGGCTTTTCTGTGACAATCTTCAGACTTTTAGCTGATTCAGAACTTTATAAGGTACCATGTAAGCCTGTTCCAACAGATTTGCCTGAAAAATGGGCAGGCTCTGGGCGATTGTCAGTGTAGGGTGCTTTTGTGGAAGGATCCTAGGTGGCTTTAGGACAGGGTAAGGCATATACATCTTGAAAAGTGTTTTCCCTAGTAAATTCCTCACACCATCATTTTCCTTTTTTTCAAATCAGATCATTTCTAAGAAATGGGCTGCTGACATTGACTTGTTGGTTGGCCTGTTGTGGTGGGAATCCTGAGTGGGGAGGGGTGCATTAATTCCTGCTGGCTTTGGCTCTCAACAATGGGGTGAGGCAAGTGGAGCACGTGCAGCTTGCTCTTGAGGAGATAAGACTCAGAAGGGTCTCTGGCCAGAAAATGCACAAGGAGAAGAGTTCTTTGTGTTGCAAAATAATTCTTGTTGCTCACCGCATGGGAAATAATCTTGGAGAAGTGGCATACGTGCTGTGATATGTTTTGAGAGTGAGAACTGAGTTGTTTTCTGTTGGGGAGTTGTATTTGAGAAGCTTATTTTTCAGGTGAAGAAATATATTAAAAACTTATAAAATGTTTCACAAACTTTTGAAAAGTTATACAAGAGAAATGCTGATGAGGAATCATCTTCAGATAGTTTCTGGAGAGGTAATTGGGGATGAATGCAAGTCATTTATGGGACAAAGAATCTGCTCTTTGTTTACTGCATAAATGGCCTGCTTTATTGTGGTATTCGGTGTGTCCCTCTGCTGGCCCAGTTTTAGAGCCAACGTGTGGCATGGGAGCATGGTGTCAGGCGTTCTCAGCGCTTTTTCTCTGTGTGCATGACCTTTTCAGACATTGGACTAGGGAGCGACTCCGTATGTGCTCGGCCCTCTTCGCATCGGATCAAGTCTTTTGACTCCCTGGGATCCCAGTCTTCACACAGTCGGACTTCAAAATTGTTCCAGGGCCAGTATCGAAGTTTGGTAAGTTTGAGAGGTTTTGTTATTTAAATTCTAGTGTATTTGGGAATGTGGGAGTGTATGAATGTGTCTGGAAAGATGCTTGTGCTCCTGCTAACAGTGCTAAAGCAGCCCGGAGGTATTTGACCTTGCCTCCATTGCTCTTGCAGCCTGGTTTTGTATTTGTCCTTACCAGATCCTTCAGATATTATGCTGAATGAGTGCTTTCAGAAAACTTGTTTCCTGGGGTTATATTAAGATTGATAATTCTGCTTGTATAGAGAAGCATGTACTTTTAACATATTTCCCTGACATAGTGCTTTCTCAACTGCTATGCACAGAAGCATGAGAAAAAATGTATGTGTGGAAGAACTTAGCCATACAAAGGAGAGACGGTTTTAACCAAAGAAGCCAAAGCTAGCCTTTTCCTCTTCCTGAAAGCCTGCCTTCAGAGCTTTCCATGGCTGCTCAGGACACAAGGAAAGGCACTTAGGTGGAGAGTCGTCTTGGGAAGGGAAGAAGAACCTGCTCATAAATGCTAAGGGCACAGGCTGTAACAGTGCCTGGAGATGACATAGGGGAAGGTAGAGCATGGGACTGAATGTGAGTCTGCAGGGAGGTCGCAGGTCCTACTGTCCTGGTCAGGTCCTGCTGTCCTGGTCAGGTCCTGCTGTCTTTTGGGCTACCCAGGACTGGCAGTTCTTGATTTGCTAATAGAGGCATGACCATTTTTTTTCTCCTTGTATATGGAGAATCTTACAATGGTAGTCATGAAAGCTCACATCTTCAGAGATTTTAGGGACCCCACTTTCTTTTTGCTGTAACACAGGAAATTATGAGGTTTTGCTAATAGTGACATTCAGGAAGTGAAAGTTCATTTGGACAGAGTTGTATTTTGTAGTTGGAAATAAATTTGAGTGTAGCTCAAGGAATAGGGTTAAAAATAAGATTCATAAGTTAAAAATAAGATTCACTTACATTTTCATAAGTGTTTTGAAGTGAACCTTATTCTTGTCCTTACATTTGCCCTTGGAGAAGCCTGTCCTAGGTTCTGCATCTGCAGGTAGGTGACGCCTTATTGTGATCTGCCTATACCAGCTCAGTCCTTCATATTTTTGTGGCCTCTCTTCTGCAGCCCTCCTGGTCCTTATGTGGTCTAGTTTTTTATAGGATGTGATGCTGGAGGAGTTTTGTAGCATTATCATTGTGAGCATTACGATTCCAAATTAAGGAGAAAACTTGAAACATTTTAAATTAGCTTTATAAAATATGTAAGGAAAATGTAAGAGAAAACATACTTTCAGTGAAAAAAAAATACTTCAAACCATGGAAGTTTTCATTTTGGTTTTTCTTTTTTCTTACTGAATAAAGGAAGACTGGGAAATATGTATGATGTTAAGTAAAGTATGTGGTTGAAGATGAATGTTACTGAGATCTTAATCATACAGGATTAACATTCCATTAGCTAGAGAAATTGGTAAGTTATACCAGGAGTGAAAGGGTTCTTTTTGTTGTTGCTGGTGTGCTGGCTTCTCCTGTATGGGACATGGCAGACCTCTTTTGCATGTTAGGTGAGAGCGACTCTTGCCTTTAGATTTTTCTGAATATAGTTTACTCATAGCACTGTGAGGTAACTTTTTTGAGTTCAAAATAATCTAGAATCTAGAAATGAGGATGGCAGAGTGTTCATAGCTGAGTAATGAGTACATGGAAGGCCATTTATCATTCTCAACCTCTACCTATGCTTGAAAATTTCCATAAGAACCTAAGCTGAAATGGCACCTTGTAGTTGTGGAGCATCAGTTCTGGGATCTTCTGACAAAGCTCAGCCCTGCACTCACTGCAGGCACTCCCACCCAAGCTGGTCCACTTCTCGGGCACTGTTTAAGCTCCTTTGCTCAAGCTAGCTTTTTTGACCCCCATATCCCTTTCAGTCTCCGAATGTTGCACCCGATTGCCGCCTCACCTGCTGGTTGTTTTCGTAACCTTGTTTTAAATCTGCTCCAGGTCAGTTCCTGGCTAGGGCTGCTGCTGCTCATTTGGCTCTGCAGTGGGAGCTGGACCTCCTCACTCGGTGCCTCTTTCCTGTGGCTCCCTCAGCATGCCTTTCTCTGGGTGATTTCTTCCTGCCCCTTTACACGCTCTCAGCTAAGCAGATCTCCTTGTCCAGCTCTGCTCTGCAGCTTGTCTGTCACCACAGAAGGAGAAACCTGGGAGATAATCAAGAGTGTGGTGGATCCAGGGCATAGATTTGGTTTTTTTTTCTCATCAGTTCTGACTTCCAACTTTCTTTTCTTAAGGACTTTTGTTGATGCTTCTGGAGTCACTGTCATGTCCTGCATCTTCATTGGCTGTTAATGAGCGGCAGCCCCACATTCCCTTCTTTATTCTCAGTTTGGGAACAGGGTTTATGTACTAGCTAAGCCTTTACCTGCTGTTAATGAGCATGGCTCCCAGCTGCCAGTGTTGTTCTCTGAGATTGGGGACAGGGTTTTGTACAGTTCTGCTTCGCCTTCTTCATTCTGGGAGAAATGACTTGATCTCTTAAGGCATTTCCTCTTCTGTGGCCCCCAGCACTCCAGGAGCCAGGGACCCCAGGCCCCTTGGCCTTGTGATGCTGTTTAGTGACCTTGCTTGGGTACCGATCTTTGAGTTCACAAAGTGTCCAAAGCATGCAAGAAATCACATCAAGTTTTATTATATATGCTTTGTTAAATATTTTCAATTCCCTTGAGTAAACATGGGATATATCATGAATCATATTTTGTCAATTCTAAGACCTTTTTCTGTAAAACATTTTAGCATATCTGAAAGTAACATGTATCTTATAGTTTATGGTATTCTGTAATTTAATTGACAGTATTTAGTGTTTTATAATATAACAGTGGGCATTGTCCAGTTTTTGGCAACTTATACTAGATGAAATACATTATGAGGAAACTGAAACTTAGATAAGGTGGGTATTTACCCAGGATTGTAGAACTGGGACTAGAAACTGTGGAGTAGATATTGGGTTTTTGACTCTGTGACAAGCCTTTTTTCAATGAATGAGAGTCTGGACACTCTGGGACGTGGAGGAGGATCTGGAGCTTTGAAGGCTGCAGGCTTTTCCGGGTTGGACTGTCGGGATGCCTGCAGGACTGTGGGTAGAATAGCACTTGATGAAGAGGAATATGCCAGAAACTGGCAGATGAAACTCTGGCTGTAGGAGCCAGGAAGTTTGTGAAGAAGAGCCTGCCCAGTGGCTAGGTGACTGTTCTCAGGGGAGGTGTCCTATAGGCCCATGTGGGGACCCTTTTTCCCTTTGGGGAGGGAGTCTTCAGTCCCTTCCCATTGCTAATAGTTGTTGACTTGTAACATGCATTTTAAAAATCTCATGTGTTGTTTGTACAGCAGGATGGATTTTCACACATCAAAGATTGCTAACTAAGCAGCATCCAGTAAGACCAACAAGACTAGCCTCAGGATGCTTTCATTGTTTTTTTACCCTAAGGGTATCTGCTATTCTGATTTCTAACAGTACAGACGAGTGTCACCTGTTTTTTATTTTATATAAATGCATTTTTTTTATTGAGAGAGTACTAGAATGTCACATTGAATCCAGGTGGATGACAAACCACTGTTTAGGAGAGCTTTTTAAAAATGAGAAAGAAGAAAGCCCACAGTGATAAAATAGGGTTAAATTCATCATTCTAGCTTCCTGTGGCACTAGAGACAATGAAGGGAGCCTTTCACACTCGAATGTTGTGATCCAGACTGCAGTTGGTGTTGTGCGGTGGGTAACTGGAGTATGTAGATGTCTTGGAACACCCTCCCTTTGGCTTGTCTAGTGCGTCTTGCCCTTCGGGCACTATTGTAAAAGGATGTGTTAAAGAAATCCACATCCTGTCACCATAAAGACACGGAAGAAGGTGAGTTTGTTGAGCGGAAGCTGTCACACAGGTCCAAGTGGTCCTCTTCTTTGGCATGCCTTGTCTTTCTCTTGGATGCTGCCCTTTTCACAGCCTTTTCCTTTCTGATTGCTTCGTTTGTGAAGTACAGAAATCCTTGGGTGTTTCCCTGGCACCCATCTGAGTTGAGAGTTCTGTTTTCACCTTCCTGTCTATAGGGGGAGTGTAGCTTACCTTCTGTGTAATTTCCTGATTTCTACTCACCTATTGTTGTACCGTGGAGCTGACCTCCATGGCCTGGCACCCAGCTGCAGCTACAGGAGGCTGGCAGTGGGCTTGTCCTGGGCACTGTGACCTTGGAGGACCCCTTATGGACCCCGAGGCTCCCTTGCGCTCCACAGTTCATTCCTTATGTGAGCTCCTCACCAGAATCACTGTGTAAATGTTTATACAAGGCTAAGCTGTAGAAAGGAGAAGGTGGTAGGGTTGTGGTAGACTGCTGGTGAGCATGAGGGTGGTTTGCAGAAGGAGATTCGCTATGGCATGGTGAGTTGGATAATGTTCCATCTCCCAAGAGCAAGTGCCACTGTGGCTGCTACTATATCTTGCTCATGCCATTGGTGGGGTGGTGAGTGCTATGCTTGAGCAATGGCTGTTAGCTGGAGCCTGCGCTGCCACATGTGGAGGAAGAGACTCCTGTGTTAGATATTAAAGATGTGTTAACTATTATTTATTCAGGATTTTGAATTATTAGATACATACTTATAATTTATGATTAAGGTTTAATTTGTACACACGTTTAGATAGATAAGTATTAAGCATTTGAGAATGACCAGCCAGCTACTCAGCTACTCTTTGTTAAGGATCTCCCTCATGGTGGGGGTGTAGTCTCATGATGTTCACCTGCTCCTGGTTAGAGTAACTCTGAGACTTGCTGGAGACAGCCACTTGCAGTTTTACTAGTGGTTCTTTTAGGATTTTGCCTATGTGTGTCAAAGGAAAATGCCTTTTTTGGAGGAGGGGGTTTAATTTGAAATGTTTTTTCAGTGTGGATGTCCATAGTAGAGAGTGGTGAGCTCTTTACACTCGGTCCCTTTACCTGCTCCCCAATGCTCTGTGGTCCCATTGTCTTTGTGGCCAAGCTCTATCCTGGCTTCAGTTAGTTCGGTGTTTAGAACGTTAGGGTAGCCAAGCCAGCAGTGTTCAGTGTTCGCAGACATGCTTTCTGGAATGCATACTTATCTTTGTCTCTTTGTTTTCCCTGTCCTTTTTGCACATGGTAGCCCTGATCTAAGAATCTATGTGTTTGCATTCAAGCCTGTTAGATTTCTTCTTGCTCATCTCCCTGAGGAGCACTCCTGGTGTTTCGCAGGCTGCTGCATGGCAGTCTCTTTTCTGCTTGGTCCTCCTTGGAGGTGCTTCTGACCTATGTGGCTCTCCTCCACCACTTTCTCCATGTCTTCATTTTGCCCTTGCATTTCACCTGTCTTGGAGGAGCACATTTTCTCTAATTTGTTCCTGGAGAAAGGGCACATGGGATGTAAATATTTTGAGGTCTTATAATCCGAAGATTGCTTTTTTTTCCCTGACATTATGATTTTTATTGCCTTTTGTTTTCAGAGGTTTAATGCTAGGATGTGATTTGGTCTGAATGTTTGTGGGTTTGTCCTGCTGTAACGGTGTGCCTTTGTCAATTCCAGGGCTTTTCCAGGTGTGTTCCTTGGCCACTTGGCAGCCCTTTTCATGCCATAGTCCCTGTGGTTCTGCTTATTCTTCAGCATGCTCTGTTTCTTTTCTTCTAGGTGAAGTTTGTAAATGCCATTCTTTTCTGAAGTTTTCTCTGTTTTTTTTTTTTTCTATTTCAAGACAGTTTGTAGGGGCTTTTTCAAAACTTTATGATGACTGCTGAACTTTTTCCATCCACTCCCATGTCTGCTGTTGCCTTGATATCATCTTGGGGGTCCTCTCTCCTGGTCGTCCGCTTGCTGCCTCTTGGGCATGGTCTCAGCCATGGTCTCGTCTCTACTGGACATCTGCTTGCTGTCTTCTGGACATAATGTCAGGCATGTCTCTCCTGGTTGTCTGCTAGGTGCTGGGACTCCCAGGCCTGTCTTTGTTTATGTGGCCATAGGACATTTTGCCCAGAACCTGTTCGACACCATGGTGCATGTGGAATGGGCTTCCCCCTGGTGGTGGGACACAGGAGAACACCACAGCATCCTCACTGGTTCCTCAACAAGGTTGTAGTTCATGTTGTGGGCCTGAGAGTGGTCTCATGGGCCCCATGGGCTTCTCTGGGACTTGTTTTTTTTTCCCTGTGGACTTTCATGTGGATTTGGGTTGCTGGCCTCTCCAGAGCCTAGTCCAGATTGTATGGAGATAGGAAGAAACTCAAGAGTCTGCTTTTCTCTTCCTGCCTTCCAGAGACTTTGAAAAATGCAGTTTTTGTGGGGGGGGGAAAACAAACATTCAACAATACCCAGTGTTGGTGAAAATCAGACAAAGAACTCTTCAGCTATGTTGGTGGGCATGTTGCTTGGTGTGAATATGGAGAACCTTTTTGAAGGGCAGTTTAGAAATTTATTTTTACACTTAACAGTATTAGTATGTGTTCTTTTACTAGAATTTAACATGGAGGCTAATTATATTTAAAGATGGACATGCATTTTTAAAGTAGCCTTGTTTTGCAAGACAGAAATACTGTATGTAGTGTATTAAGAAACTAATCTAAAGGCCCATTGTTGGAGAGTGATAAAATAATGGCACCTTCGAGTAGTACAGCATTATGCAATTAGTTGGTTCTAAGTATTGCTGGAAGAATGACTGCAGAATGCTGACTTGGCCTAAATGCTGGAGGAGTAGGCGCGCTGATCCTTCTAAGTGTGTGTGAATGTATATCGGTTTGTGCAGGTTTAGCAGTTGCAGAATGAGAGACCCTGGAGGGTCTCTTCTGGGGCCGGGACCAAATGGTGAGCAAGGTGCACTGGGAGTGACAGGAAACTTGTTTTTTTATTTTAGACATTTTCCTGCTGTTTGAATGCTTTGGGCATTTATAATAATGTTTTGGTTGCCTTTATAAAATATAATCTTACTTATTTTAATGGAGTAGACTGTATCTCAAGTAATCTTCCTCCCACTCCTCCCCACCTGCTTTTTAGGACATGACTGATAACAGCAACCATCAGCTGGTAGTGAGAGCCAAGTTCAATTTCCAGCAGACCAATGAAGATGAGCTCTCGTTCACGAAGGGTGATGTCATCCACGTCACTCGAGTGGAGGAAGGAGGCTGGTGGGAAGGCACGCACAATGGCAGGACTGGCTGGTTCCCCAGCAACTATGTGCGTGAGATCAAGCCAAGTGGTAAGTGGCCAAGCCTGAAGTGGCACTGATGACTGCTGTTCTTAAGGCTGAGAAAGCAGCCATGAATGCATTAGCATCCTGAGTGCTAGCTCTCCAAGAGAGTCTGGGAAAGTGCCTCTGTCGTGATAAAATTTTTGTCCAGTGGAATCCCTAACATTGGAGTTCTGGGACAAAGGGCTTCACAGTTATAACCCAGCTTTGCATTCCATCCTGACATTTTCCACATTCCAAGGGAAATATCTCAAATATGTTAATGTTCTCTCTTTCCTCCTCCAGGTACTGAGGGTTGAACTCAGGGCTTTGTACATGGTAGGCAAGTGCTCTACCAGTGAATTACATCCCATTTTATTTTTGAGATAGTTTCTAAGTTGCCAGGCTGGCCAGAAGTTTGAGATCTTTCTGCCTGAGTCTCTTGAGTAGCTGGGATTTCAGGCGTGTACCACCATGCTCTGCTAAGGTTTTTTTTTTTTTTAATTGAAGTGGGATCTTACTACCTTGTTCATGCTGGTCCTAAACTCCCAAGTGATTCTCCTGCCTCAGCTTCCGAGTACAGCTGGGATTGCAGGTGTGTGCCACTGTGCAATTGTGGTTACACTTTTGTGTTAAGATATCCTTTTATTTTTTAGAGCTGGGGTCAGGGCTTGGAATTTGTGATATGCAGACTTTTAACTGTGGGCACTTTACCAATCATCTATTTGAAGATAATTTCTGCTGTTTATATCAGTAATAGTATTTTAAAATGTATTGCTTTCTGTATTTTTTTGATGTTTTTTTACTGACCAAAACTGATCTTTCAGAGGCTGATCTCTTTTGAAAGAGAGTGGTGGTCTTTGGCATAGTTATATCGCTGATATGCACAGTGGAGTTGAATATTCTCTGAGGCTTGTGGTTAGATCTGCTGACGAGGGAGTGGCTGTGAATGTTGAATGTTGGTGAGGCCAGCGACTGAAGTGCCAGCGGACTGTGTTCAGGGGACCTGGCATTATGTTTTCTTGACACAGGTGTTTCTTAGCCATACTTCAGGCCATGGGCCAGTGTGGAGGATTAAGAAGGAACTCCATAGAGACTTCTAGGTCACGTGAATGCTACTGGGCACTGCTGGCCTTCACGGAGCTTGCCTAAATTGCCTCTACTTATGTAAATCTTGTTTTATGTTGAGCTTGGTTATAGATGCTCTTGTGAGAGATAAAGATTTGCAATGAGATTTTAGAAGGAGGGTCAGAAAGGGGAAGAATGTGGGAAGGTAGGGAGAGAGGTGGGATGACATTTGTAACTTTGTATATTGTTCCTGCTATTTGGAAAGTAGTGCACTATACTGTTTCTCTGATTCCGCCCTGGGAAAGATGATTTACCAATATGACTGGAGAACAGGATGTGTGGAAAGGGCATAGTGTGCTGGGGTGGGTATGGCCTAAACTGCAGATATTTCAGATGGAAAGGACAACTCTATGCATTGCTTGTGGAAGTCCCTTGGTGGGGCTACTTAGCTGCAGTATGTATGGTGGGCACTCAGTGCTTACACAGAGCAGGGTCCCTGAGTGGTCATTGCTGTTATTTTATTTTTTAATGTAGCAAGAAAAAATGAATTTTGAATGTGAAAATGAGTTTTGATAGTAAAATATTTTCTCAACAGCGACCTTGGAAAACTTAGTGCTTTTGTTACTGAGGCCCAGGCCAGAGGCCTGAATCTGGGATCCCATCTAACTGGATTCAGTTTTCTGTCTGCATCAGGAATGAGAGCAAAACAATATAAAAGGGAAAAGTGAATTTAATCACAGCTTGGCCAAACCCAGAAACTACTGCTCTGCCTTTCCAACCTAATACAGGTTACTGAAGGGAACAGTCATGTAGAACAGAAGCTGAGAAATACACATCTGTCTGGCTGTGGCCTCCAGTGAGCCTGTGTGGCAGTTCTGGTTTTTGTACCCTCTGGTGCCCAGGGCCTGGGATTTGGGAGCATTCTTAGCTCCTGTTCTCAGCATGAGATGAGGTGATTGCCTGTGGGAAACAGGATGGAGAAAACAGCTTGAAGAACAGTTAGCAGGAAATGAATGGGACTGAAGAAAAGCAGTTTGAGGCTTATTGAAAGTTTCTGATTTTAAGGATGTCTGTTACACTTCAGTAAGACAGCAGGCAGCTGGGCACCGTGAGTTACAAAGTTCTCTGGGTTTTACTTTCATTTTTGGTATCTTGTGTATATAACATTCACCTAGCCATTCTGTCTGTTTCTGAGTGTGTAATTCTGTAACATTAGTCATGTGCATGTTGTTGCATAACCATTACCTCTGTCAGCCTCCACAAGTTTCTCATCTTCCTGATCTGAGGCTCTGGCCCCAGGGAGCACTGATACCCTGCTCCCCTCCCCAGCCCTGTACCCCCTACTCTACTTTATGTCTCCAAAGCCAAGCAGCTCATATAAATAGAAACATACTGTTTGTGTCTTTTTGACTGACTTGTTTCACTGAGTGTAATGTGCTTAAGGTCCATCTGTGTTGTAGCATGTGTCGGAATTCCCTTCTCTGCATGTGTATTACCTTTGATTGTCTGCTGATGGGCACTTGGGTTGCTTTTGGGTCTGGGCTGCTGTGTGCAGTGCTACAGGTATGTGACTGGTCAAGTCCTTGTTTTCACAGGTTAGGTACAGGTGCTCCTCGGCTTTCAATGGGGTTGTACTTTAGGTAAACCAGTTGTAAGTTACAGTATGGTAAGCCACCTAACCTGCTGAACACCATGGTTCAGCCTAGCCTACTTTAGACATGCTCAGAACATGTGAACCAGCCTGCAGGTGGGAGAAGAGCGGAAATTGTAGCATACAATGCTAACCTGTGGAAAGACCAGGTTACATTCTTGAGTACATTCTTACTGAAAGTTACTGCTTTCACACCATTGTAAAGTCAAATAATGGTATGCAAACCTTCCTAAGGTCTGCAGCCATCATCATGTACCCAGAAATGTAATTGCAGAGCAGGTGGTACTTACGTGCTTTGGTTTTGAGACCTGCCATGTGCTTCTCCAGTTCTTGTACCTTCTTGCATTCCCAGTAGCAGTGTGTGAGTGCAGTTTCTCCATATCCTCTTCCAGTTATGTTTTCAATAACAGTCATGCTGTTTTATATGAGGGCATATCTTCTTGTTGCTATTTTTATAGTTATTAATAGTAATAAGCAGTATTTTTCATTTTTACTACAAAATCAACTTGGCCAAAGATTTTTTGGCTGCTTATTCTCTGGTTACTATAAAGTGTTTTTTATATGTGACCTCAGTCCTTATCATAACCCCAGCAGACAGGTATTGTTAAGATCTTAAGCGGGTAGGAAACATAAATTTTTGCAATCTTTAGAAAAGTTGCTATTCACTTGTGGAATCAACTGAGTAGCAGTAGGTGAAGGTGATGGACATGTGGTTTGGTTTGTGACTCAGCTGGGCATCCAGGCTGAGCTTTGAGCCCAGCCAGCCGTGTGCAGTGCTGCAGGTATGTGACTGTGAATTTGCTGAGAACAAAATTGTGCTGATTAGGTTAGCAGCCCGCCAGCCCCAGCCCCAGCATGTGGGGACTTCGTCCTCCTGGGCCACCATTGGGAGAGAACACCAGAAAATGGTCCTCATGGAGCTAGGGAGTGGTTGAGCCTTTGGGAAGGACCTGGCCCAGTGGGAGGCAGGAAATGAATGGGACTGAGGAAAAGCAGTTTTTCCCAGTGGGAGGCAGTTGTTCAGTCTGTTCTTTCAGCTAGCCATGTGGCTTTCATTAGTTCTTACATTGACTACTCTTAAACATTGCTTCTTTCTAATTTTGAATTGTAGTAGGCTGCAGATGAAGGGAATGTCCAGGTATTTCTCCTGTGGCTTTTTCAGTTAATGCAGCATAAGAAATGACACTGAAGGTGGGTTTGTGGGTCTCAGAGTCCTGGGGTGCCTTGTGGGCGTGATTTTCAAATAGATTTGAATGCCCTCACTGTCGTCTGTGGGTAGCTGTTTGCTGTACAGCATGCGGTTACCCATTAAGGTTGCAGACATGTGTCCTGATGTGTTGCAGGCAGGCCTCGCTTTAGTGTGGAGTGGAGGCCTCAGGGTTAGCAGTGGCTGAGGAAGCTAGGTAGGAGGGACCGGTGAAAGGAGTGTTCTGTGTTGACCTCCCTCAGGGGCAGCTGTGACATTCTGCCCTGCCTAAATTTCCATGTTAGTATCTTGTTTCTGAGTGTGTGTGACCAGTTTAAATCTGTGTTTGTGATACATTAGTATTAAAGATGCATTGTTTGTAGGGAACCACACCATATCCATAGTTTATGTACCAAATGGAGCGTGAGTAGGTTGGCTTTGAAATTTTTCTGTTTTTAAAAATATAAGACACCATTATTTGTTGTCCTTTATTTGACAGTGAACCTAGGGGAATGACTTCTCATCTAGTGTTCTGTAATCATCCGAGTATGCTGTTAGAAAAGTCAGGCCAGTCTGATTCCAAATGTGGCAGCTGAAGCAGAAAGGTGGGAGACCACTTCTTTTATTCTCCCACTATAGCAGGAGGATAAAATTCTAGGATTGCAGTTACATTCAGTGTTGCAATTTTCTTGATAGTTCATTGCCTTTCTGATGGAGTAGGTTTCTTTTTCCAAAGGTATGTTTGATTCAAGCATTGTAATTCATGGTATAATTGGTGCTGAATTTGCTGAAAACAAAATTGTGCTGGGTTTGAAGCAGACTTCGCTAACTGTTAGATCATTTCCTTGTGAAACAAAACCCTGACTTCTCATCCATTTATTTTTTTTTTTTTTTTTTTTTTTTGCTATTACCTTTTGGGTTGATTTCCAAGTAGTTTTACTTTGTAAGCAAAATCTGAGGGCTGCTTCTAAATTCTGCTGTTTAGGTTGTTTATCTCCAGATAAAGTCTCTAGATTGTCTCCTTAATCTTGGCTTTGGGGGGTGGGGAGTGTGCATAGCCACAGGTTATGCCCTCTTGTGGTTAGACTCGGAAGTGTTCTTGTTGAGCTTTCTGCTTTTAACCTG